ATATAAAATGTATTATTAGTATACAAAGATAAATGAAGTTTTAGGAGCTTTGAAAGTGGTATAAAAGGATAGCAATTAGAAAATCATACTTCAGTACATTGTTTTATAAGGCTTGAGGATACTTTTTGAGCTTTATTAAAGCAGAAAGTATAGTAAATAGAGTTACCTTTCCATTCTTCAATGGTGTGTTCTCTTTCATCCAACTGTTTGTCATATATCTGAGGTGGAGGCTGCAGAATAAAAATAAATAAATAAATAAATAAATAAATAAATAAATTTTATATGATCACCTGAATATAACTAAACTCTTACAAAGCATGATCATATCTTCTTATTCATTGATTTTGGTGTTGATCAGAGTCTTACATAAATTATATGGTAATTACGGTAGTTCAGAGTTTAAAATTTTCTCTCATAGTTACAGAGGATCCACTTATATTATAATATTTGCTGCTGGGTAATAAGGTAGCAGGACCCAAATCCTGAGAGGTCATCCCCAATACCTTCTGATTCAGAACCTATGCAAAACAGGCATTGGTTACAAGGGCCAGAAACTGCTCTTTCTTCCATTTATTTGTCTCTTAAGGCTTTAGAACTATACCAAAAATTATCACAGATAAGCTTCTGTTCTATAATTTATTTATTTTGAGGGGGATAGGTTTTTGCTATAGGGCACGTGTGCTCACCAGAAATACAGAGAGAGACAGAGACAGAAAGTGAGAAATCACCCCCCACCCCCAGGAAGGATGGCCATGCCACTATCTCTTCTTCTCCATTCTCTTCTCAGGATCATGGACACACACGCACACGCGCCCAGCAAGAGTTTAAGTCACTGGGTTTGGGTCTCAAACACTGATCGACTACATGGGAGTCTAGATACATAGCCATTATGCCAACAGCTGGTCCCAGATTCTGTTCTATTTTTAGAGTCCCTCTGAAGAGAGTCTATAATACCTCCCAATAGATCATAGTATCAGTCCCCAGTATAAAGATATATTTAGATCAAATCAAACTTTTATTTTTCTTGAAACATTATAAAACACCTATATATAGTTGTGTGTCTTCTCTTTAAATGGTTTTAAGAATGTTTTTCTTTCAGTCAGAAGATGTTGCCAGTTGGCTATAAAATGGGTCCCCCTAGATCCCCTGAGTTAGTTCTTGGTTAATCCTCTCTGAAATAAATGCTGTACCAAGGTCTTCAGTCTTATTAGGGAATCAGCATTCCTCTTCCTGCATGTAATTCTGATGTGAAAAGGAGAAATTGTCACAAATATATGTGCTTTAAATAAACTTCCTCATCTCTTCTTCCTGATGTTTGGTCATGGGGAGCTCTATCATGGTGGCTAGGTATTTCCAACTTAGCCCAAATGACATGGCTAGGAAAAACTCTTGGAACATAAATACCAAAAGGTAGGGAAGATGGGGCTGAGAAAACTACACTAGCTGGCACTGGAATAAGCACATAGAATAGCTGTACGACTTCCATGAGACAGGGACCCGAGTTCTCATCTAACACCTTGAGAGTGATATTTTTTATGAGAAATTAAAGAAATTACTCATAAGTGTAACTAAGACTATTAAGACATGGATCCTTCAAAAAGTTCTCTTTTAAGGAAGGCTTTGACAAGATTTTCAGAGACAGCCTCTGTCTTCTGTGAGAGATTCTTTGGCCAATGAGCAGCACCCTAGTGCCACAAAGCCCCCCAACCTTTCTTTAAAGAGGTTTTTGCCATAGGGCATGTGTGCTTGCCAGAAAGACAGAGACGGAGAGATAGAACACACTACAAATCTCTGAAAATCTGGATTGTGACAGACACAAATATTCATCTTAGCCTTGGAGTGTTGGGGCACCCTCATTTCCTCAGAAGTAGCTGATGTGAAAATAGAATACTTCACCCAGTTGTGGTGTGGTGTCTTAGCATAACACCGAGGTAATGAGAAATCACTACCACTAACGGGACTAGACTCTTTTAGCACCTGTAATTGCTACCAGGACAGAAGGCCTTAAACCAGCTACCAGGACTCAGAGGTGGCCAACTGAGCAGTTCTGGTCAGCACCAGGCAGCACCCTGACAACCACCGAAACTCCACAATACCCCATAGGACTAGGAGGAACACCAGAACATTGGCAATGTAAAGGTAAGGGGACAGAGTTGACTAGGATCCTAACTGAGGTGGGACCTTCTGCCTCAAACTATAAAAGATCCCCAAACAATAGAAAGGAATATTATACTTTTATTATGAATATTATGAATGAGTTAAATGAAGTTATTTTTTCAAGATTTGTGAAGTTGTTATCTAAATAGTTAATAACGCAAAGCCCATTTGGATCTGTGAAGATGCTTTGCTAGATGTCAAGTTTCCTGCTTCACCTTTTCCTGAGACAGTAATGCTGTGGCCCGGGCCTTGTCCAGGACCCTGCAGGATGCAGCATGCATGAGCTCTCAGAGCATCAAAGCTCTGTGTTGTTGGCACCTCTTTCTTCTAACAATAAACCCAGCTCAGAATCCTGCGTGACTAGCTTCTCCATGCAGTGGATTTTTCCATTCAAGTTTCAAAATTGAACATGGCTCAAGAGTACAGTTCCTGCCAAAGTTCATAAATGCCATTTTCCTTTTGCAACAAAGCTATTTTGAGAAAGTTTTCCTTGGAGCTTTGGCAGAAAGCTATTGCTGATGTATAAAGCATGAGGTACATAGACTCTAACCACAAGCAAACTACAAAGAGAGAAAGAAAAGTACTGAGTCTAAGAATTTTCTTTTTAATAAATCAAGAAGGTTGATTTAAGCACACTTGCATTTCAAGTTATTATTCGAGGGCTTCTGCAAATGGACTATATGCTCAGTTTTTGGTTTTTTTTTTTTTTTTTTTTTTTGAAGAGGGGATGTAAATGTCACCTATAGTAAAATACAGAAAACAGAAAGTGGTAGTGGTCATGGTGGTGTGTGTGCATGTGTGTGTGTGTGTGTCTTTTTGTGTGCACAAACATGTAAAGGAAACTAGAGGGAGTTCAGTGAAATATGACATATGTGATCAGATGTGACAAAAAATAAGAGCTATGTCTGGAGAAGCAGATGGGTCAGACAAAAGCTAGAATCAAGAGTGGCTTTGGGTACCACCAACTTTGGGTCTTGTTATATGGAGCAAAGACTTTTTCTTGAAGAGAAGGAGAAATCACTAAAAGAATGTAAGAGAAGAGCATGGTTAAATCTAGAGCTGGGTTGATGAAAGACAATTAGAAGCAAAGAAAAATATTAGGAAGCTATTGCATAATCTAGAAAAATATCAAAAGGTCTGATTGGGTTTGTGAAAGTGAAGATGAATAGAAGATACAGATTCAGGAATAATTAATGAATATTAATGAATCAAAGTAGTAGAATATGGTTCTTTATTGAATGTGTACAATGAGGAGAAAGCATGACTTCCCTATATCTGAGCCTGAGTGGCTATGCAAGTGATGGTTTCTCCATTGAAACAGAATGAAAAGGGGGAAAGGAAATTAGTAGGAAGATAAGCCTAAGTGTATTGAGCAGAGATGTGTATTAGAGAATTGAATATATAAACTGAAGTATGGAGGAATGTTGTTGGCTAGAGATGCATACATGTAAATATCAATAAGAGATATGTGTTAAAACCATGACAGTGGATGAGGTCACCCAGTAAGAAGGACAAGAGAGAAACATTTAGAGAAATACACTGAAAATGAGAATATTGCTGTATTATAGAAATCAATTGAGCAGAGAGTTTCAAAAAGAAAAAGTAATCGGTAGTTTCTTGTAAATAAAATAAAGAGTGTGGCTTTCAGGGCAGCATAAAGGCATGATAGGAGGCATGCTTTTGAACCCTATGAAAGTTCTCCAAACTTTATCATCCCTAGAACAATCCAGATACACCCTGAGTGCAAGATATTAAGATACTAATTTGAGACAGCAACTTAAACATTGAAACAATATAGAAGGAATATCTTTTTTTTTTTTGGGGGGGGGAGGTTTTTGCTATAGGGCACGTGCGCTCACCAGAAAGACAGAGAGAGACAGAGATAGAAAGCGAGAAATCACCCCCCAGGGGGGAATGGCCACGGCGCAATCGCTTCTCTTCCATTCTCCTCTCGGGATCTTGGGCGGGCACGCACGCACACGCGCTTGGCGTGAGTTTTAAGCCACCAGGTCTAGGACTTGAACTGAAGACGACTACATGGGAGTCCAGCAACATAGCCATTATGCTAACTGCTGGTCCCTAGAAAGAATATCTTCAACATCAACATGGATATTGCACATAACTAAAAGGAAAAGGGACTGTACAGTGGGCCCTGTAGCACAGTTGTTAAAGAAGCCTGATCCTACATGGCCAACTGTGGTTTAAATCCTGGCCCCAGTGACTTGAAAGACACTCGGGCACATGTGTGCATGTGGCGAACCTGTGTGCAAGCCTACATAAAGTGTGTCTGTGTGTGCATCTGTTTGCATTTGTGAATGTGTGTGCCTGTGTGTGCTTGCTTGTGTCTAGTGCCACGTGCTCAGGTCGGGCACTAGATGGTAAGGACAAATGGAGAAAAAGGATTTTTGACATGAACACATCCTTCTGAGAGGTGATCTCTCTCTCTCTCTCTCTCTCTCTCTCTCTCTCTCTC